GGAATCAAAATCGAGGATTCACACGTGTTGTGGGGGTCTCAACTATAAATACTGAAAGTTCAAGAGGTAACTCACTTTCATTACTTAGGTTGTTGCTCTACTTCACTATGCATTAATTCAAATCGAAAGATATTAATGCTTAAGTTATTTATCCTTTGCTCAGTTACTACATCCTTCTTCTTACTCATTACTTTTACTATGTTGTCATTCGTGGGGGATTGTTGGGAATGACAAATATTAAAACCTTTTGTTGTCCCACATCGGAAGAATAACCTTTGGGAAGTTGGTTTATAAGCATTGACTCAGTATTGGGCTTATAAACTTGGTGTGAGGAAAGCCAAGACCAAGGCCCACACGTGTGCCGTCGTCGGGCTCGAGCCTGATTTGTTGGATACTTAGATAGTTGGCACAACGTTTTTTACCTCCTGGTTCCTTCTTTGTCCAACAAAGATAAGCTACTGGGTCTCTGTTGCAGAATGTATTGGAGAATTGGATCAGTACTGCTCCATAAGACCTGCAAATCCCTGTACGGGGAAATCAATTCAATTTTCAGATACTGCAATCGGAGAAAAATTCGGATTGGGGAATTTTCAGAGAGACCTTGAGAATGCCGACGATTGTGGCACTGTAGAGCTGGAAGTTATGGACGCCGGTAACCACGTTGGCGGTGTTGAAGAACACCTGGGCATGGACGGCTAAAAACATGAAGAAGCACATCGCCGGCACCGGTGGCCGGGGGATTAAGCCGGAGACCGCAGCCCATATGAAAATGTATCCGGCGAAGCACTGGATTGCTCCGACGGTGTGGATGATCCATGATCTGCGGGGGCGATTGTTGGAGGCGACGGCGGAGTAGAGGAGGACGGCGAGAACTCCGGCGGTGGCGCCGACGTCCTGAAGACGGAAACAGTGTCGAGAGTGGACTGATCGTAGGCCTGGGTTGATTTGAGGGCGGAGGAGTAGATTCCGAAGGTGTATGATGGGCCGCAGATGCATTGGATCCATATGCTGGCAACCGTGGCGATCCATCTGTTACTCAGAGAATGAACTTCCATTTCAACTTCGAATTCAGAAACTGTAATCTCCTCCTCTTACGAGTTGAAAAATGGAATCTCTGAAGGGATCTTCACTGAAAATGAGTTCAAGTTATACGTTCAGTTCAGGTACTCCCAGAAGTTCTAATAAATCACCAAGTCTTTTTTTGGTTTGTTTGAGACGTCTGGGTCTTTTCTTAAAAATCAGTTATTCGAGCAATTTCAGTGAACCTGAAATTATCTTCTTTAACCTGCTCTCCGTCACAAAGAAAGAAAAACTTTCTTTGCTGATAAAAAAAAATGAAACTTTTAATTTTTGGAAAATAATATGCCACAGTAATTTTGTTCTCGTATTTATAAAATGTTTCACAACTAAGTGAGAAATGAAAAATAGAATTTTTTTTTTTAAGATTGATGAACTATAAATGATGTTGAAGATAATATCTAGTAGTGAAGTATTTTTTTTTTAATCTCTATCCCAAACAAATAAACATTTTTTAGAACAAAAAATTTACAACCTCAATTTTTTTTTCCTTCTCATAACTAAAATTTACGAATAAAAAGTATAAAGAAAATTGGAAGAGAATAAGTACGATATTATTGTAATTTACAAAATAATAAGTAAAGTATAAAAAATTTGGACCGTAATTAGTTAGCAATCAAGATTTATAAACCTAGAAATTAAAGAAAAAACTACGTCCTAAATTCTAATCCCACAAATTTGTTAATAAATCCTAGATCTTAACAAGTAAAAAGGGAAAGAAATTCCGTTAGAGGGATGTTATAAAGATTTGTCGACATCTACAATCTTTTCATCCATGCTGGCAATCACATGGGGTTATAAGATTTAAAATAAAATATATCAGAATATTTAAATATAAGGAGGCATTGAAGTCGAAGTATAATATAATAATTAAAAACTATTCCACGTTGTAAAACATATTATATACACCTTGCTTCAAATAAAATATACAAGGTAAGCTTCACGTGATATAATTAGAATATGATAATTCTAAATGATTTGTGACGAAAATGTCCTTAGTTTTTTAATGACTACGAAAAGTTATCTTATATGGTTAATGATTTATATATTTGATTTGATGTTAGCTACGTCACTACAAAGTGTGGATTAGATGACATCCCTTTGACATTTGTTTCTAAAAATTGTTTTTCAATTATGTGATTTATATAATGTAAATTTTGAAAATTATATTTTTCTATTTTTAGTGTTTGATTTTAAATTAAAAATTTTAAAAGATAGAATTATATTTTTTGGAAAAAAATACAAATTACAAACTCATTTTTTTAATTAAAATAAAATATGTATAATATAATATGTCATAAATTATATAATAGTACAAAAATGGGTTATTATTTTAGTTTTTGTATTTTTAATTTTGATTTATTTTAGTTCATTTTAATCCTATACTTTTAAAAGGTTTTTTTAGTCTCTCTAGTCTTGGTCTTTATATTTTTAAAATTATAATTTTAGTTTCTACTCTCAAAAATTTAACACAAATTCGTAATTTACCAAGCTCCCCTGAATCGCTATAAATTTATCGTTAACATCAGAGAAGTACAGGAATTTTAATAAAAATATGAAGAACCTAACATTTATGGCTAATTTAGTAATGCTCCAAATTATTATTTCTCGTTTCAATTTTATTAAGAAACTTAAATCATTTAACAACTAAAAGAAACAATAAAAACTTATTCCTATTTCCAATTTGTTCCAAAACACAAATAAAAATGTTGTTTTGCCATTCTTGGATGGGCCATGAAATTCTCCTTTTTCTTTTCAAAAAATGATAAATGAAAACAAGAAAAGAGGAGGTTACCGAACATATCTTTAACGACTCAAATTAACATAATGTTTACAAAGTATACGCACTAAGAATAACGAATTGTAAAACCTTAATAAACAGATTTCTTTACACTCGGCAGAATCCTCCAAGAATTCTATTAAACCTACAAGCAATATCTGATCCTCTTTCTCTCTTGTTCCTTTCCTTTAACTGAGGCGTTCAACTCTTCTTTGAAAAGCCAGCCGGTAAAATCTCCTAGTCCGAAAGAAGAGAGCAGCAGCAACAAGAAAGCCCAAGAAAGCCACGGCGGCCATGACCAGAAAAGATACCACAAAGCAGTGTGTGCCGGAGCAGGAGCCATGTTTTCCGGCGGCTTCTCGGTCGTAAATGTAACCGATGACTCTAACAGAGAAAATGTAAGACCCCAGAGGGCTGGCTATGGCTATGGTGTTGAAAATAGTACCCATATGCTCTAAACCAAATATCTCTGAAGTGATTGTGGGCATCAGTCCCCACTGTGAGCCGTAGCATATGCCAACAAGAACTGAACCCACGTACAGATTTCCAGAGAAACCAGAGGCGATCACGATGTGGCCACCACTCATTATGAGCAGAGTAATTGCCATTAACAATGGCCTCGCCCAGCCATATGAGTGGAGAAGGAAATCAGAGGTGTAACCAGCTCCAAAACGTCCAAGAAAGTTCCATATGCTCCACAAGGAAACGAAGGTTTTTGTCTCTGTTACTGTGTAACCAAGAGATTGTCCAAGTTGGCTCATGTTGTTTATGGTGGCCAATCCGGAACCCATTCCACACACCATGGCAAAGAACAGCAGCCAGAAGTTTATAGAACGTATAGCTTCCAGGACATTCATGGCTCGAGGGGCCCTGGAGTTTGAAACAGCAATTTGCTGGCTCTCATCACTTGCCAATTCATGATATTCCAGAGGTTCGTCAAGAACAGGACTTTTTTCAGTGTAGGGTGAAGGAGATGACCCTCCAAAGTCCTCCCTCTGAGCATTAATGGAGATTCCAAGAGGAGCAGCAAGGAGAATCAAGAGTATGGAGAATGTCAAAAGACGAGTCCAAGATGAAAGGGGGAAAGTGTTTTCCAGAATGATGACAATCATTAGATAAAAAGCAAGTATCACAGCAAGTGCAGACAATGAGTTCAAATGCTTCATCTCATTACTAGTCTCGGTTTTGTCGATTCTAACAAACCACATGACCAGGAGGGAAAGAAGTGTGGGCAAAACAGCCAGCATGAGGAGAAGATTGCTTGGTTCTCCATTACAGAATGTGTTATAAACTTGGATTAACAGTGCTCCACTAAGACCAAGATATCCCTATTCAACAAAAATGAGACACCAAATTCAACACGATCAATTCATAAATAGCATATTCCAGACCCAAAATCTGGGGAAAATCCTTGGAATCTGCTCTCAGATTCATCAAGGCAAGCACTACCATGTCAAATAAAAACCTTGATACTATTCAGATGGTGGGATCCCCAGTTTCCCACAGAACAAAAACTGGATTAGACGTGGTGATTAAAAGTTATGGTTAAACTATCACTAAACCAAAAGCTTAAGCTAATAGACTAAGGCATGTGATTAGAAATGAGTACAAAATCCAACAAGTGAATATCCATATTAATTAAGAAGTAAGTAACATCAGGTTGAACACAACTTTTTGATACTTGGTAAACTAACTTTGGATTAGGTTTTACTTTTAAGTTAGGTTTAATCTAATACATTAGGGCATAAAATAGAATATGGACCCTTGGGTTGTTCCTTTTTGTTGCGTTGCTTAATATACACAAGTTTCTTATCAAAGAATATGACAGAGAAGAACAGGGCAGGAAAGAAAGAAAATGAAAATGGATTCCATGACTCATTTCATTTCTAAGCTCCAAAATGAAATCTCTTGTGAAGTATGCGGCCAACTAAACAGTTCATCTCTGTAACCTAAACTCCAATTCCAAAACTCCCTTAGAAAGAAAAACAAGGGTTCCGAAACGATGGGGAATTCGAGATAAAATCCAGAGCCCCAACAATCGGCATATACTTTTTAAATTTGAGATTCACAATCAAGAGAACTAAGGTTTGTGTCAATACCTTCATGATTCCGACAATTGTTCCGCTATAGTGCGCAAAATTGTGCACGCCAGTGACCACGTTCGCCGTATTGAAAAACGTCTGCGCATGCGCAGCAAGAAACATAAAGAAGCACATCGCGGGGACGGGCGGGCGATCGATCACTCCGGAGACCGCCGCCCAGATAAAAATATATCCGACGAACCACTGAATCGCTCCCCCGGCGTGCACGATCCATGGGCCAGACAGAAAGCGAGCCGGGGAGCTACGACGGGGGGTGGCGGGAGTGACGGCGGTGTAAAGAAAGCCAGAAACAACGCCGGCGTTGGCGCCGATGTCCTTGAAAACGGAAACGGTGTCGAGGGTGGATTGATCGTAGCCCTGGGTGGATTTGAGAGCCGCGGAGTAGATGCTGAAGGTGTAGGATGCGCCGGAGACGCACTGGATCCAGATACTGAGGGCCGTAGCAATCCATTTATTGCTCATAAACCCTATACCTGTACCTTCCATCTCCGTCCGCGAATTTCTTCTTCTTCTTCTCTGATTCTCCTTCTTCCCTGTAACCAAATTCGGATCATTCCCGTTTTGTAGCCCTGATATTTCTTCCGGAAGAATTCAGGATCGGCGTTAATTTGCTAATGTGGGTCACGTTTGGCGGTTGTCAATATCATATCTGTTTTCTTACTTTTTCCGGTAATCTTGGTGAAATCAATCCTATCCATCTTCTTCCAAACTCTCGACAGAACATAATTAAATAACTTAACTCAATTGGGTTCTCTTCTTATCCTTCAAAATCTTCATTAACTAAATTTGTTCTCTTTAGTTTCCGCATAATATTGAATTTAGTTTTGAAATTTTTAATTTTATCTCTAACATTTATTTCAATTTGTCACGTCATTTAGTTAGAAGTAACAAATCATTTTTTATGTTTTCTATTGGGTGGTTGTTGATTGTGTCAAGGTTCAATGAGAGATGTGACATTTTTTAGGTAAAAAATAGTATAGATACGATTTATGAGATTTAATTCGATCATAAAGTCTAAGTTAAACTTTTAAAACTCATTTCAAATTACGTGGGGAGATAGGAAATATCGATGTGTTAACATCTTTCCGTGTCTGTTCTTGAAGCTCAACTATAAGGTGACTTGTAAGCTCGTTAAAATTCCACTTGGTCAAAGGTAGTGTCATACTCCAATCTTAAGTAGTTGATAGTCCATCTTTGTGTAACAGATCTTCGACAGCATAATTGAACTATCAAACGTTGTTATCACTCGAGTCTTTATAAATAAAAGCATCATTCTGATTCAATATACACAATTTGAACATTGACTTGAGATTTTAGATTGACTTCTTATTGATTCGAGCGTCGGAATGTTTGCTTCTTTTGTATAGGTCTTTCTCCACTAAACTTGCTTTGCAAGCTCAACCGTACCAAATTCTACCAATCTCTCAACTAGGTCGGAATTCACCCTAAACAAAATTGAACATTTAAAAATTACAAACTAAATTGAAACTATATACAAACTTGTTAATTTAAAATCCAACAAATAATAGGGTGAAAATAGGATTAGAAAATTTAAATAACATAAAAAAGAATTAAATTAAAAAAACATTGAAAAATAAGGACATTCCTCGCTTTACCATAGTTATATTAGTTTCATCCACGTAAAGGAATTAGAGCATAATTAACATATTTTAAAAATTATTGTTCAAATTGTCACTTATATTTGAAATTTAATATTCTGAAAAAAAAAACTATCATCTAAGTGTAAACTCAAAGTTCAACTCACATGCGATAAAAAAAAAAGTCCAAATCAATGAGTAATCTTCTTTATGTCATCACCAATAATTAAAATATATATATATATATATATATATATATTTCTACGCTATTTTTTTGTTTATAAAAAAATTAATAGTGAGAAGGAAAAGACGCGTAAATATATGTGAGTATTTTCTAAATCAATAACCATAGTTAACCCTTTGAGATATATGAATAATTTCCACTAAAGCATGAAAAGTTTATTTATTCAAGCCATAAATAATTTTTTAAAAATATTAAAAATATATATATAAATACTGACTTTATGTTATAAAACGAGTTATTAAGCTAATAAGTACAACGGCATAGAAACTTAAATGAGTCAGGTTAGGTTAAGCTGTATTGATTGACAAAGTGAAATTGAAGCGGTAAGTTAAAAGACAAGAAAAGCTTATGGCTGGTAAGTTGAATTGAAGTTGTAAGCATCATTTGAGGTCCACATCTATGGGATATAGTAAGTGTTGATTTACAAATTATATTTTAAAACAAATCAGAGTGGCGCAGCGGAAGCGTGGTAGGCCCATAACCCACAGGTCTCAAGATCAAAACTTGGCTCTGATAAATTTAATAATTTTGTTTTAATTTACCAACCTTTAAAACACATAATTGGAATATAATCCTTTAAACACAAAATTCAGTTAAAGTACTCCAAATCAATAAAATATATATATCAACTTGAGTAGCTTAATAGTTAAAGCATCAGAAATCAAAGTAATTAGGTTTTTTTTTTTTATAATATTCATATTCACAGTCACACTTCATGAAAAGTATTATATATACCATTTATTTTGAAGGGACCATTGCATTTTAGAGTAGACTATATTTATAAATAATTTTCACAATAATACTTAAGTTACCCAATCAAAGTTTCCAAAATGAATAGGGCACACAATGGGCGAGTTACCAAAACTGGGCCCAAGCAGAGGCCAAAATGGGCCTAGACCTACAAATGGGCTCAATCGAAAATACCACGCAATGGGCCAGTAGCCGCATCGAATTCAAGCCCAAGCGTTTTTTCAAACAAGAAAACTTATTTTTAATAGAAAAAGGCAATCGATTTTGCAAATTTTAAAATACATCCCTGACTGAAAGTTTATAGGCTAGATTTATTCTTAATTTAAAAAATATAATATATTCTTTTCATTGAATTAAAAAAAAAAGTGAGTAGAGCACACTTTAGCGAAGAAACTAGATTAATATGCAAGCAATAAAGGGGATTATAAAAATGAAAGGGGGGGCGAGGCACGGGAAGGCACGCGCAGAGCACGTGTGATGCGATTCCGACACACGCAGTCAAATCTGGACAAAGACTGACGTGGCACCACCGCACGTGATGACAAGGTACGGACGGCATGAACTAAGCCTTCTTCCCCTCTCCCCGACCATTTTCTATTTTTGTAATTGTTTTTGTTATTCACTAACGTTAAAAAAGTCTCCGTCCAAACCAAAATGAGTAACCACTTAATCTCCACGCTCTTCTCTTGCGAGTGGGTTTTCTTTTTCCTTCTTCTTTTCGAATTATTATTATTTTTAAGTTTAAATATATTTTATATTCATGGATTCATCTCAAAACAAATTGGCAACGAAGGGAGTAACTCATGTCCTATGTAAGGTCTCTTTTCTTTTCAATGTGGGATCCTTATCACTGTATTTTTCTAAATGTCCGTTTTGATCTGTATACTTTTAAAAAGTGACTAATTTAATTATCTAATTTGACACGAATGATATACATAATTGAAACTCTTAAAATACAACTATATTGCAAAAAGAAATTAGATAAAAATGAAAATAAAGAAATCAAAATGGTCACTTTTTAAAAGTATAATAACCAAAACAAAAGTTTTTTTTTTAGAGTAAATAGACTTAAATAAACAAAAATTGAAAATTTATGGACCAAAATGGACATTTTAGAATCACATAGACGAAAAATGAACAAAAACAAAAAATACAAGTACCAAAATAATATTTAAATTTTATTAATGAAAGACAAGTTTATTTCTTTGTTTCTTCAAGATTAAAATATATGGTAACTCCTTTTCTTTCAAGAGTTGAGGTTTGGACAATTCTTATCGTTGGGATGCACATAATTAATCGTTTAATAGAAATGAAGGGGTCAAAATGAACATAGTTCAATGGTATTTGACATATCTCCAACCAAGAGATTGTGAATTCGATCCTCATCCTCACATGTTGTACTAAAAAAAATTTAGAAATTAAGAGAGAAACTAAATATATGGGTAATATCCTGAAATTGGATATATAGATGGGAAAGTTTGATGTCTATTGTAATAAATAATTTTCTTTTTTGAACGTGGGAGCTCACATTCCCTCTATTAATTAAAACAAAACTTTAAGTAATAGATTTAGAACCCTTGACTAAGATCTACAATCCTAATAGTAGGGGAGATAAAAGGGAAACTTGGGGAAGTTGGGAAATATGGGGAGAGGAAAATTTGTTCTAACAAATGAAATCAAAAGAAAAGATATTTTGTCACACAAATAATAAACAAATTCAAAATGTTTTTTTTTTATTAATACCATGTCTACCATCAATATTATAAAACTAATAAAGAAAATCTAGAGACCAAATATATACCAACATATATACACAAACGACCAACTTGAGAATAATTTCCTTTAAAAAAAAAAAAAAAACTTGAGAATAATTTAATAATGGATATAGTTGTTATATACAATATATTAAAGTTTGAAATTTTAAAGGAAAGAAACATAAAAATCAAAGATATTTGGAGAAATTTAAATCTGTAATTTTTAAAACAACTAAATTCATTTAAACATGGAAGTAAAGACAACATAGATACATGCCTTAATTAAGCAGCTAGCTTAGATTGGAACCATTTAAACATAGCAGAAAACAAATCTAAACACAATAAACATTATAATATGATTTTTCTCTCATTTTTTTGGGACAAAGTACGTAGACGATTTCTAAAGTATTAAAAGCAATTAATCAAACAACTTATCCCGTTCTCATTTAGAAATTCATTTGATATATATATATGTATGCATATTTTAGAAAGAAAAGTTTGATTTAAATTATATAATTGGAGTTGTTTCGTTAAACAATAGAGTAGGTGTGCCATGGCAGAGAAATCAACAAATGTAGTTAATTAGAGGCAAACACATCATTTAGATCTGCACCAAAAAGCTTTATTAATTAATTGAAAATTAATACAACCACCCAAATTCAATGTAACTTAATTGTTTAAGACACTTATTTCTATTAAAAAGTTGTGAGTTTGAATTTTCCACTCCACGTTTACTAAAAAGAATTAGACGTTAAATAATTTTAGGGTATTAATTAATTACTATATCGTGATGAACTGATTTTACTTGAATCTACGGTGTTAAGGACAACGATACCCTTGTATCTCCAAATATCTTCTCACAGTTTCCAGACCAAGGCTCCAGACACAATATAATTCTACGAGGCTCATCACTCCTTTATTATTTGACACTCAAGAATTCACCAGTAGAACTGAGATCTGACCATGGCTCTCGTTGGTAGGGTTTTACAAACCCAACACATAGAAGTTGAAAAAAGTTGGTTTTTATTAGTTGAGTCTACATGTTGATTTATGTTGGAGAGTGAAGAATTAGGGCAGGCGCTCCAATGGAGGAAACCTAGGGTTTTGGGCGTTAGGTATAACGTCTCCATCACAGTGTGTGTGTGTGGGCAACCAATCCATTTCTGAATCAATCAAATTAGCTTCAGCTTCCATTAAAAAAACCTTCGAACTCTTTTTTTTTTTTTTAATAAATAAATAAATAATAGTTTCAGAGTCCAGAGAGAGAGAGAGAGAGAGAGAGAGAGAGAGAAGACTTTGGGGGATTGGAGATTTCTTCATAAGCTTCGATTGTTGTTCATTGGTTCCTTCCGGATGCCAAATCTCTCATCCTCCACTTTCATGGGCGTCGTCGCTACCGGAACTTCTTCTGCTTCTGCGTTGTATGGACGGCGCCGCCGCCGCCTCTCTTGATTTCTCCTCCTCATCCCACGGAGAATTACAAGCTCATGATGAAGCGCCGGCGGCGGCGGCGGCGGAGTCCGAGTCCCTGTCCCTATCCCGCGTTCCGCTCGCCGACGCTCCTATTCTTCTGCTTATTAAGTTCCACGGGGCGCTGCGATCGGAGCTCGCGGATTTACGGCGCGTGACGGCGGCGGCGGCGGAGCGTGGGAGTTACGGGGGCGAGTTCGTGTCGGGATTGATACGGCGGGTGGAGTTTCTGAAACTTGCTTACAAATATCATTGCGCCGCCGAAGATGAGGTACGCTGTGGATGCCTCTACTTTCATTCCATCGATGATCAATGCAAGAGAAGTTTTAACTGCTCAATTATGCTTACATTAACATTCATCTTGGTTCAGTTCTCATTTTCATACCTGAATAGTTAAAGTTACTCCATTTTAGTTAATTAGCTCATTTCTATTTTAGTTTTTCAATATTTAAAAATATCTACTTTAATTTCTAAATTTAATTTTGATTAATATTTTACTTTTGAGAAGTATAAATAGAGATGATATCTAACAAAAAAAAAAACTATTTATCTTTATTATCTTTTAATTGTATTCATTTGCATGTTAGAACTCTCTTCTTTGTCGAGTAAATCTTTCTAAATGTGATTTGCATTATTCCTCTCATTGGATATTGTACTGTCATTTTATTATATGAGTGAGGTGGAGGAAGGTCGGCTTCCCCATCCCCACAAATTGAGTTCACAAAGAATTGTTCCTCATTTATTCTTTTTAGAAATCTGGTTAATTTTCTACTGTCTTATCTAAATTCTTAAATCCTCGCAGAGAATATCCATTTATAAAGAGAAATTTTAGGACTTACTAATTCAAACAAACATGTATAACTTCTTACTTTTGTCCAAATATCTTATAAAAAAAGTTTGTCTAAATAAACTAAAATCCTCAATCCCATGCATGCCTCAAATGGGGATTCTCTGCCATTTTGGATAGGTCCTTACGAGGAAAAATAACCCGACTCCCTAAATATGTATAGTGTAGCTTCAAATATATAACATGATGCAAATATGTATTCAATCGCATATGTTGGTTGAGTCATGGGTGAGAATTGAGCCTAATAATATTAAGCTGCAAAATAATAGTAAAGATTAAAATTTAAAAGTTCAATAACTAATATATATATTTGTTTTAAAAGTTAAGAATTATAATATAAATTTTGAAAGAGACTTCGACTATATAGGGTGACGAGCAAATATGAGCGAATATTTGAACTATATAGCCTGGTGGGATGAGTATTAGTGATAATTATTAGGTTGTAAAATAATAAGGATAAAAATAATAATTAATTCAAAAACTAAAGTATGTATTTTAAAGCCGTCAAAATAATAGTTTTTTTCTCTAATTTTAAATACTAAAATACATATTTTTAAATTGAAGAGTTGAAATAAAATAAATTTTAAAGTTTCGAGAAAAATGAGATTTCTCTGAAGAACTGGAAATAATCACAGAAACGGGCCAATTGGGAAATTCACTTTATTATTATTATTATTTTTTGCAATTCACTTTATTTTTTCTGCGTAACAAACGGATAATTTTAAAAAAAAGAGAGTTTTCTGTTGAGCGTTTTTCTTTCTTTCTTTTTTTTTTTTTTTTTGGATGTAACTTATATGTTGAATTATCTTAGGTTTAATAATTTTGCTTGGTATACTAAAGAAAAAAAAACTTTTCAAATGATGTCCTTTTATTTTCGGTCATATCGATTACACTTTTTTTTTCTGCGTTAAAACATAAAATTTATAAAACTGATTGATTTTTATTTCCTTTACTTGTTTCTCAAACAAGATTGTATGAGTGTTTAACAACTATTTGAATATAGATTTGATTTTATAAGAAACCCATATTTTGTTTAATAACTATTTGTTCTTTGAATAATGTGTTATCCTTGTCAAATTCTAAAAACTTTACGGAAAGTAGTAGTTCCAAAAATAATTTTAAATAGCGAAAGCAAAAAGAAAAAGGTAAAAACATAACATAATTGGGAGAAGATAATCTAAATAACAACCAGTTTTATGGTGATTAAATGGCAGGTTGTGTTCCCAGCTCTTGATCTACACACAAAAAATGTAGTCTCCACATATTCCCTGGAGCATGAGAGCATAGATGGTCTTTTTACTTCCATTTTTGAACACTGTGATGAGATCAATGTAGAAAATAAAGATATTTCCCAGCCATTTCAAGAACTAGTTTTCTGTTTGGGCACCATTCAAACTACCATTTGCCAACATATGATCAAAGAAGAAGAACAGGTATTCTAATTCCTTCATCCTCTGTCCAAATTCATAAAATATATATCAAACACTCACAAACTTTATGGCAATTCGTCGATATATTATGAGTTGCAGGTTTTTCCATTGTTGATGAAACAATTCTCTGCAAGAGAACAAGCATCCCTCGTATGGCAATTCATTTGCAGTGTACCAATGACACTACTGCAGGAGTTTCTGCCATGGATGATGTCTTTTCTTGCATTAGAGGAACGACTAGAAGTCACAAACTGCCTAAGAGACGTAGTGCCGAACGAAAAACTACTGCAAGAGGTAGCCATGAACCGAGTTTCCCATCTTGCTGCTACCAAAAGCATCACCGTTAACAAAGCTCATATTTTTCCTTGTGAAGGTGATAATGTCTTGGCTTGGGAGCAATGAGAAACCTTGTAAAGAAGTAGAACCAGAAGACATAAAGTGTGTTTCCAACTCTCAGGACAGTGGACAGAACCCTGTTGATAGCCTCCACCTGTGGCATGGTGCCATTATGAAGGATCTGAAGGAAGTTCTAAAATGCCTATTTCAAGTGAAGAGTTGCACTGAAACAGCTCTTTCTAACCTTGATTCCTTAGTTGTCCAAATAAAGTTCCTGGCTGATGTGATTCTTTTCTATAGGTAACTAAAGTTATCTTCAGCCACTTTACACTTTATATGACTTTACCTGTTTCTGATGAGGCTTTCTGATTCGCAGAAAGGCGCTGGAGAAATTTTTTCATCCTGTATTCAATCGACATTCCGATGCCTCCCCAATCTCCTCCGACCAATTGTTTCTTAATGACAGTCATATTGAAGGCTTACAACGGCTGCTGCAGCAAGGTGCACAAGATACTATACCTTTGAGCAATTTCTTGGAGAAATTATGCTGGGACGTGGAGTCGTTCATTGTACAAGTCAGCAAACAATTCACTTTTCAGGAAACAGAAGTATATAAACTTAGCCCAAGACTTCACTTTTTTTTTCTATTAGTTATACTTAGATTATGAACATTGATCAATGACTTCAACTCAGTTCTGATGCTTGCTTCTTGCAGTTAAATAGCCACTTAACAATTCTACTTTCCAAAATGCATAACCTTTGTAACTCTTTTTCAGGTACTTCCAGTGATCAGAAAGAGCTGCAATCATAAAACACAACAGCAGCTCCTGTACATGAGCCTTCGTACCTTGCCGCTTGGGCTATTGAAGTGTATTGTAACTTGGTTTTCAGCTCACTTATCTGAGGGAGAATTAAGATCTATACCTCACGTCACACCAAAGGGATATTTCGGTGTAAATGATTCACTTGTTTCCCTCTTGCATGAGTGGTTTCGAATTGGCTACTTAGGCAAAACATCGGTAGAACAGTTCGGAAACGATTTGCAGAAAATTTTCCAGACCAGAAGCTATTTTTTGCATGAAGTGGAACAAGTGAAGGAAGCTGTTGGAACTTCATCCTTGAGCTCAAATATTCACTCTTATAAGGGGTCAAACTCTGAGCAAATGGAACTACTTTCTACCAACAACAAGAGCTTCACGTCACCTTCTTCATTTGGTGTTTCTCATACTGCTTCAGTGTTTGAAACATCTTATTCTAGTGGAATCAATCTGCAGATACATTTTCCAGGAACAACGAAGGTACCGTGTCCCTATACCAAGCATCTCTACGAAGAACGCCCGCATTCTGCTCTTAATCAGCCAAAGCCAATAGATCTCATTTTTCTCTTCCACAAAGCTCTCAAGAAAGAATTGGACTACTTTGTTCTTGGTTCAGCTCAGCTGGTTGAAAATGTTGGGATTCTGACAGAGTTTATAAGGCGATTCAAGTTGGTAAAATATTTATATCAAATCCATACGGATGCTGAGGACCAGATTGCTTTTCCAGCTTTGGAGAAGAAGGGAAAGTTCCAAAATATTAGCGGTTCCTACACCATGGATCACAAACTAGAAGTACACCAATTCAGTAGAATATCCTTCACTCTTCATGAAATGTCTGAACTGCACGCTCCAATTTTTTATGCACATGCCAACCGAAAAATATTTAGTCACCAACAGCTCTGTCTGGAACTCCATGATATGTGCAAATCTCTACATAAGTCACTCTCTGACCACGTCAATCGTGAAGAAATCGAGCTTTGGCCCCTCTTTAGAGAATTTTTCACGATTGAAGAGCAAGAAAATCTTATAGGGGCTATACTTGGAAGAACAAAAGCCGAAATTTTGCAAGACATGATACCTTGGCAAATGGCATATTTGACACCAGACGACCAGCATGACATGATGTCTATGTTCCATCAGGTAACAAGAAATACAATGTTTAATGAATGGTTAAGAGAATGGTGGAAAGGTTATGACCATGACCCTAAGAAGGTGGCAGCAGAGGTTACAACTATTACTCCCTCATTGACATCAGATCCCTTGGAAATCATCTCAAAATACCTATCCAAGGAAGCAACTGATGTATGTGAAGAAAATATTTTTGGCAAAACCATCAGCTCAGCACAGAAGGAATGGCAAAGTCAAGCTACTGATGTTGACACGACAGTTAAGTTCAATTTGAATGATGAAACAAAAGATCTTGATGGCAATCAACAGAATGAGACATTATCAGAATGCACAAAACTCTCTTCTCAAGGAGTTGAGAGCAAGGGTGCTGATGTTATTATAGACGATATGACCGAAACGGAACGACCTAAAGAAGGTAAGAAATTGAGCCAACACGACCACCTTCTTACAATTAGTCAAGGAGATCTGGAGGCAGTAATAAGAAGGGTATCCAGAGACTCATCCTTAGACTCCAAAAGTAAATCATATTTGATACAGAATTTACTCATGAGGTTGGTAAGAGTGTTCATTCAATTTCAATTAGTGGCAGGAGAGTGAGTACCCCTTTCCCCAAAAAGAGTAAAACAAAGCTTTAGAAAACAACCAATCCATAACTAGATACGCTGAATTCTCCTATGGTCTCTTTATTTGCTGATGAAATTTGACTCAAAGTTAACTATTTTGATATTGTCTCAGCCGTTGGATTGCAACCCACCAAGTTTCCCAATTAGAGACAAATGTCACAACAGAGAGCCAAGGATTTTCAGGCCAATATCCATCTTATAGGGATTCCTTGAAGATATCATTTGGTTGCAAACATTACAAAAGAAACTGCAAGCTTCTAGCTCCATGTTGCAACCAACTATATACATGCATACATTGTCATGACGAGGTTACCGATCACTCATTGGATAGGTACGAATGCAATACAACCTATAAGATCGCAATTTGCTTCTTATTTCTTCAGTAGAAAAGGGATCCTTACATTCTATCATTTTGACATTCATCTTCAGGAAATCCATCACAAAGATGATGTGCATGAAGTGCTTGATAGTTCAGCCCATTGGCAAGACATGTTCAACTGTCTCTTGTGGTAATTTGTCAATGGGAAAATACTTCTGCAAGATCTGCAAATTATTTGACGATTCGAGGTAAGTTTATCTTATTGACATTATTGATTTTGTTTGGTATCATAAAATAGGATCAAATAGGTTCCTTCTCATTGTAATACATCATCTCCAATACTATCACTTCCACCAACTTCATTCGTATGCAACTATATATCCATAGTCCTAACACAAAGCAACCGGTATTCTATGTTATCTACATTAAAATTTGCTCTGAAATCTGAATTTAACCATTCTCATGTCATAGAACACACCTTTCAAAAAGTACAACTAGTAAAATTTTCTACTTTATTAGCCTTTACAATTGTCTCAGCTATATTTTATCCTTCATAGTTCATAGCTACCTGTTTAGGTGTAGGATCACATGAAATGACTTACATCTGCCATCTTGTTACATTTGGGCTAGATCATTAAAGCTTGGAGTTTTTGATTTAGAATTTGTTGAACAGAGACATCTACCACTGTCCATACTGTAACCTATGCCGAGTGGGGAAGGGATTGGGCATTGACTACTTCCATTGCATGAACTGCAATGCCTGTATGTCTCGTGCACTTTCAGTTCATGTGTGCAGAGAGAAGTGTCTAGAAGACAACTGCCCAATTTGCCATGAATACATTTTCACATCCACGCTTCCAGTAAAGTCCCTTCCATGTGGCCATTTGATGCACTCGACATGCTTTCAGGTACCCTCTCTGTCTCATAGGTTTTCTTGTTCTTTCCAATGGGAAATGTCTTACGATGAAATATTTAATGAACTTTCTAACATTCTGCTGTCCATAGGAATACACCTACTCTCATTATACCTGTCCTATCTGTAGCAAGTCGCTGGGAGACATGCAGGTTGGTTACAAGCTACGGCTTAAAAAGTATTGTAAAGCTAGCTTCTGCCCCAACAGATGGGGTTTGAGATCTTTCTTCTTCTACCAAAAGGCATACTGTTTAGCTTTTCCTTGAACTTAAAAACCCTTTTGTCATGCAGGTGTACTTCGAGATGCTGGATGCATTATTGGCTGAAGAGAAAATTCCAGATGAGTATTCTGGGAAAACTCAGGTTTGTCTTGTGTCCAACTTCATTCCAAACTTATCCATTAAAAATCTACAAACTCCTGGAGATGGAGCCCCGACCTAAACCCATGTAATCAATCGACCTAGATTATACAGATGAATGTGAATAATCTTAATCTAATGCTTCAGTTCAGAAATTTTTAGTTGATTGATAAGAATGGGACCTAACAATAAACTTTGGAATACCCTTTCCATGATGCTCTAGCTTTTCAGATGTTTCACTAGAATGTGTACTGACAGAAAGATGGAATGGCAGGTAATACTGTGTAATGACTGTGAGAAGCGTGGAACGGCTCCATTCCACTGGTTGTACCATAAATGCCCCTATTGCGGTTCGTATAATTCTAGGGTTTTGTAATTCCACTATGGATTTTGAATAATCGATCGATTCTTTCCAAGCACACTTGTAGAAGGGTGAGCTTGTCTGGAGTGAGACATAAACAGATTAAATGAAATAAAACATGGCCTGGTCGTCATGTACAAACCATCGAAGGAGATGGGGGTGGAGTTGCAATATTTTAAGCAGACCTAAAGCTTTTATCCCAACGTATAGTTGTCAGTCTCTGAAAACAAATATTTCCATAAAACTTGCAAGCTACAGCATTAAACAAGTTTCACTTAATATGGAAAAATACAAGTATGCAGTACACTCGCATTTTTTTATGCACAAATGAAGCTTCAATAATTGCTTTGAATAGATAAATCTGAAATTAAGACTTGGGGACAGGCAGTTAAATGTTGAGGCATATTTATTTCTGCAATCTCATACTATGAGCCGCAGCATGCATAACCATGCCCAAAAAGCACAATCAAAGCCAAAACATGAGTATTTGAAACTAAATTTTATGGGAAAAAACTATTTCACTGGTTAAAAAGGATGTTATTGAACATCCAAAGCATTACAAACCTCCAATCTTCATTCATAAGCAGTCAACTAATATTGATGAAAAAGCATTTACGATCTTAGATTAGACCTTTTTTGGTTTAATTTGTTATCATTAGATACAAAGGCATTGACAGACTACCTTTTTGGCTTTTTCAACGACTTGAAATAATTGCCAACGTTGATTTTATATGTATAGGGAAAATGAGAGATTTCCAATAAACCTAGGCAACGCCAAATGCAGAATAAGGAAACTAGAAGTTTAGTTCATTTGATCACCATATCTGGAGACAAAATAATTTCACTTAAAGTGACCATAGCAGAGGCCCGAGTGACTTCAATTGGAACTATACAACACCTAAAAACTGCAGAAAATTAAACGAGGAAGATTATAGCATCTAGCATTGTCTCTAACTAGACTCTGTCTCAATTGTTCGCTATATTGGTCTTCTCAACAACCAGAAATCCTTACTCTTATGATACAGCTATAAAACCTCCTAAGTAAGATATCACAAAAAAAACACCCATTCAATACTGTTCTGTACCTTCTCTAACAACCTTATTAAAGGATTGAAGCTAAGAACGAATTCCAGAGGCAGAAACTTGGGTGCTCTATCTCACTTTTGGCTCTCCAATCATCTGGCTCCCTCAATTTAGAAGAAAATCTATCATACTTACACTATTCTCCTCGAGGACCAGATCTTCTCCAAAAATTCGTTGATTGTATCAGAAAACTCAGATTTATGTTATGACCCGATCAAAATTTTTCTTTTGAAACCAATATTACACGTTGTACTGTCTGAATTCCGTGGATGTAAATTGGCTGAATTCCGTGGATGTAAATTGGCAAGTCTTCCCTATAAACACCTCCTTGCCAAGGCAGAAATCAAATGCAAACCGCGTTCCACCAGTACGGCTAATGAGACAGTTCCAAAATATCATTAATTTACAGCTTCAAAGAAAAGAACCTGCGGTTGCAAGTGTCCTCTTTCGCACATGGTAAGAACATCAGCCCAGTCACCAATTACCTAGGCATGAGCACAGGTTATCACATGAGAGGAACTACAGCTGCATCCCCCTCCACCCCACCAGGAAAAAAGACACATGCACACATGCACACTGAAAAAGTAAAATGAGGCAGAGGAGAGTAAGAACTTACCTTAACAGTTCTATCATCGTACATTATCCAGCATTTCTTGTCATTACTGTAGGCAAAGCAATGATAGTGTTGACCATAATAGCAAACCTACATAGTTGGGTGTATATTAGAGAAATGATTATTCAATAAACTGAAGACTTCATATTTTGGCAAATTCATAATTAACAGACCATATTTAAAATGACACGCAGACCAAAATCTATTCCAGAAGCACCAGTACTACCTACTCTCCATGTTAGAGGATAATGGTCAATGTTGCTTTCTTAGTAAGACAATGTCTATACTTATAGGCAAAAGAGAATTTGCAGTAGTTTTTTTACAGTAAATCTTGCTCCAAAAAGACCGTTTATTATGGTCCAATACAGTGAAAGCCTTAACTTCTGAATTTTGGTTTGAAAGAAACCAAAGGATCTTTGAAGACAAGAAAAGGGATTGGCTTGAATGCTTTAATCTAGCTAAGTCTAAAGTATCTCAATGGTGTTCGATGTCACCCCTTTTTAAAGATTATTCTTCCAGTAGCATATACTTCTTAGGATGCTTCTTATTTCAATAAATGGACTATCTTACTCCCACTGAAGTTTGTATCTTCGAACATTTTTGTTCCATTTTCGTAGATCAATGAAAAGTTCGTACCTTGTTAAAAAAAATGTTAGATTACTTGTTTGGTGCATTTAGGATATTTGGAGATGCTAAATTATTGATTTCCTAAATTATTGATTTCAAGTTGCAGGATACACTTAATGAATAACAAAATATAGATAAACATGTTAAGAAGAACATTCTAGTTAAAAATTAAGAAAGAATAATAATGAAGTTAAAATGCATCAAATTTGAACAGTATCCATGGCCCATCTTTACAGAAAAGTAGTACAGGGTCAAGGGGGAAAATGGTTTGAAAAACACCACAAACGTCCTTATTAAAAATAAATGCAAGAAACCCAGGTGTTCAGAATGTCTATGAATGCCTAGAAATACTCAAAACCCAGGGTTATGATGTGTTTCAAACAACGATGAGTGTTAGGAAATCCAAGGTCATGGTGAATAAGGAATTAAAATATCATACCCATGAAAGCTCTCCAAACTATTAAAAGAAACAGGCTCCCAATAAAACACTGTGACGTGTACAAATAATTTCAACTCTAAGAGTACATACACAGATACAAATTAACAAAGAGGAGCACATACCACCGATACCAAATTATGGGTATTCTTTGGATCTAGACCCCGATAAAGAACACTGATGTCTATCTCAGTACTTAGAGCAGCTAATGTTGCTGTGATGTCGTCAGCACTCTCACAGGTGTTCTGCCAGCCCAAGACTGCAATACCAAAATTATAAACAAGTAACATGTCATAAATACATCAAGGGTAATGCAAGGGAGGGAAGCAGGCTGCGTAGGAGGAGTCTGATGAAAACTATTTGAACTCACCTGTGGTGAACACATGTGGTGGTGCAGAAAGAAAGTGATGAATGTAATTGAGCTTTCCACAACCACCAACATCCAAGTCACAAGCAAGCTGATGATTCATTTCAACAACATTTAGAAGTTCATCGAAGGAACTTTCAGTACACATAACCTGAATAGTGAAGAAAATTGAATTAGATAAACGGTGTTCATTAAAAGAATACCATCGGTAAAAGAATGATCTTCAACAACAGAGTAATGTGGATGTGTTACCTTCATTGTTCGAAGGGCACTAGCATTTATATTGTGGAAGAACGAAGTGTACTTCAAATGTCTAGATTCCAGGCCACAACTATAGCAATTCATTCGTTCAAAAATGTCCATTCCAAAGATGGAATGGACCAAACAAGTGTCACTTGCACAGTCCCAAGATCCCATGCAATTGCTTTCTACTGATTCTGTATCAGAAACGCTCGAACTAGGAGTCAATGACTGGTGTAGGCAATCAAATATGACTGCCAGCACCTCAGAGGCATCATTCATCTGGCCCTATACAACCACCAAAATTTGGTTATAGCTTTTCTCATAATGAGTACAAAGTAGAGTAGATGTCCTTTCTTTTCTTTTCTTTTTTTTTTCTTGGAGTAGTAGGCGTCAAAAACCAGAGGCATGCAAAACTACCTCTTGGAAGAAATTACTATCCGGACAGAGATTGCTTAGAGCTATTCTCAAAGAAGTGGGGGCAACTGCTTCTCTTCTAACATCTGCAGATGCCATGCTCAAGGCAGCAAAGATTTCATATAATGCACAAACAACACAGGGATCCCCAACATGAACATGCTCAGTCATAGATCTCCTCAGGAACTCTTCCCGAAACCGTCTTAAATGCCATAAGGACTGAGCTCATGGAGAAAAAAGCAACATTTTAGAATGCATGCAAGAAAGAGCAACAAAGAACTAGCAAAGTGAAGTGATTTGCAATCTTATTTTGTAACGCACCCACCTGAATAATCACATTCAGAAAGCAATTATATTCACCAACTTCATTCTTAAGTCCTGTCCCAAACATATCTGCTCCCTGCACATTTTCTACATTGAGTTCATTCGATGGAACGCCATTACTATCTACTTTACCACAACTAATCAATGGTATCCTGGAACTTGAAATCAAGGGTAATTTCTGCTGTTCTTGAAACGTATCTGAGAAAACATTAAAACTACAATTAGAAAGCATTACAGGTTGAAGCAAATAAAGACTAAAACCTAAAAAGTTACAATACCTTTTATGGTATTCTTTAATTATTAAAAACTTTATAGTGTGATAATTTTGGGACAGAATCATACCCCGAATCCAAAGAACTAGAGTAGGAAAACCAGCCAAAATTTCTGGCATCAGGACGAGGACCAAACACCACTAAGTAGCATGGTTAGAATACCAATTTGGTCCTCCTATACTTCAGGACTTGTTCTAAGTTGCTACATTTTCAAATATTCAAATTTAGTCTCTCTACTTTCAATAAATCTTAAATATTAGTCCTCATTGTCCATTTAAAGTTACTTTTATCTGACTTGGCAAAATAATAATACTAATTTCATTAAATAAAAGGCACAATGTGGATATGTTTTCCAATTTTCTAGAGGGATGACTTCTAGGGACTAAATTGTTTTAGCAAAACTTAACCATAAACTAACGGACGGGGACCAATTTCAAGGTTTATTGAAAGTATGAGACTAAATTGGACATTTGAAAGTATGAGGACAATCCCAAAGCATAGGAACCAAGATGTTATTTTAACCTAAAAACATAGACCATGGCTCTATCAAAGCAATAATAGAGACACAATGGAGCTATATTACATTCAAAAACAGAGGAGCACATCCATGATCCACAAGCAAAAATTGTAGGAAAAAGGTATCCCATAAAAATTATGGTTTTTTAAACAGTTCTTCCTGCCAAACCAAATCAAAATCACAAGAGTGACGCAATGACTAAGAGAGAAAAGAGAGAAGACACGAGAGGAACCTAACCAAGGCTCTGGCGTACGGCCTTTTTAAGATCAGCTTGAAATCTTTCCTCATCATCCTCTACATGATGTTGTCTCAAAGTCTTTTTACTATTATCT